GGTTGAAAAGATCTATAAGAGCTTGATTGATTTCTTCAGCTGTAATTTCTTTGTAAATACTTTCAAATACTTTGTCTAAGAGGTTTTCTTTAGGCAGATACTCTTGTTACTATTCATCCTTTAAAACAATTGACTTACTGCTAGTATATTTTTAAAGTAATTGATAATTATTTCTATAAGTTTGTTGGAATTATCTTGGAATTGATTTTCATTGGACAGAATTGAGAAATCCAGCTCTGGCTTGAGGTTCCCAAGGGCCTTTTTGAGTGCATTTTTAGACTTGGACCAGAACCTGATATAGTTTTCTTGAATGTTCTTTTGAAATTCATTGAGGATAATTTCATTAGCCTTGGTAACTTTTTCTTTTTGAAGGATTTTAAAGGTTTTTCTGAGTGAGACTAGTAATGGTGGTTTGTTGGATAAGGCTTTGTGTGTACTGGCTGCAACCAGATAAAGCTTGTTAAACTTTCTGTTTGCTATTACTAAATTGATGACCTTTTTGAGAGATTTGATTGCAATCTCTTGATGTTTTAAAGAATTCAGCTTTTTCGTCACAATAGTTTGATCTCTTTTGGATATGTTGTTCATGATATTTTTGATAATTGTGTTTAGTGACTCCCAAGATGGGTTGGTCATAGCAGTACAATGTAACTCTACTTCTTTTTGTATTGCTTGTATCTGTTCCTTGCTTGCTTTTTGAAATTAATAGGTTTTTGTTAAGAATGATATTTTGCTAGGCTTGTATTCAAACCAATCTAGTATTATATTATATTTGTTTGTGATCTGTTGATATGGCTTGTTGCTCTGTGACCTTGTAAAAGAGGATTTTGCTAGCAAGATTTCTGGTAATCCAAATTTGATCAATTCTTGAAGTGCTGGTAAAAGTTATATGTATGTAGAAGTGTTCTTTGTTCATGGCCCTTGTGACATTCACAAAGTTGATAAGATATTTATATATGTTTCTTTTGAAGGGGGGGACTGTGTGTTAATTGAGAGAACTGATTTGGGATATAAGTTGAAATTCCTTGCAATTATAATATGTTTCTTGTAATGCTGTTGGATAAAGCTTCTCAAGAATGATATTGCTGTTTTCTTGCAAATCTCTCATGTGGTAGGTAGCAAAATATTATCATAATATCTATTTTTGACTTGAACTTGAGGTGTACTGTGCACCAGTACTTATTTATTGAGAAGATTTTGAATATATGTGTAGTTATCACTCTGGTAATGATCATACAAGCACCATTGGTTGTTGAGTTGCTTGGGTAACTTGAAATAATTATATTGCTATTTGATGTTCTTAGTAAGGGATTAAGTATTGAGGCTTTTGTTTCTGAAGCATATAAAATGCTTCTTTCGCTTTTAATTGCTTTAATGAGTTTATTGATTTTTCTTCTTTGTGTAAAATCTCTGACATTGAGAGTAGTAATGTTGATAAGATTTTTAAGGAAGATGTGTGTGTGTTGTTTAGAGAGTGTTAAGAGTTGGACTGGATTGTATTTATTATTAAATTTGATTGGAAAGGTGAGTCAATACCGGTTTAGATGATTTAGGTTTAGTTATATATTCAGGTGGAAGTTTTTCAAAGTTGAAGTGATTACCAAGTGTTTTAAAATTGTTGTTTAGATTTGGATTGTCAGTAAATAAGAAAAACAGATTGATGTTATTATCTTTCAAGATTTTGTTAGGTTCTATAATATCAGGCAAGTCAAGTAAGAAAGATATAATTCATTCTTTGGAATCTCTCCAAAGTATTTATTTTTGATTTTTGTGATTGTTTGTTTAAATTCTGGAAAGTCTCTATTCAGTTATTCTTTAGTAATGTCAAGTTCTGTTTTGACTATTTGAAAATCTTCTGGTAGCTTGGGCTTGTTTGATTAGTTAAGGTTGTTCTTAATTCATTTTGGGCTTAGGAGAAGTTTTACATAAAATTTATTTTTTAAGTCCTTAATGAAATTATCTGTCTCTTCTTGTGTAGTAGCTGAAAGAAGAATGGAGTTATTTCACTGTATCAGTGTAAGGGAGGAAGTGGCTGTTTTATTCTGATATAGTCTAAGAGGAGATGTTTGACTGCATAGTTGTTTTCTTTTAAAAGCTGAACTCTTTTCTTGAAGTCTTTTATAGTATTGACAACTGGGAGGTGTTTGGCTAGATTAGATAGCAGGTTTTTGTATAAAAGAAGAAGATATAGCTTTAGTGAAGGAAGGTTAAAGTAAGACTCTGGTAATTTATTGGAAACATAGTAGTGTTTTCTAAGTTTGTTGACTTAGAATTTGAGATCTGCAAGTTTATACCTCTCTACCAAAGAAAACCAATTAGCAAATTCTGATGAAAGATCTTTAGGTTTGTCAAGAAGATCTGGTTTTTTGACAAAGTAAGAGGTAGGTAAGGTATCAAAGTTGTAGAAAGTCCTGAGGCTGCCTGCAATCTCACTTGTGTCATTTCTTGAGATAATCAAAATGTTCTTGAGAATTTTGATTTGATTGAAGTTGAAATATTCTTGGAGTTGTCTGGTAGTGCTGGTAAGTCTTTTTGGATATGCTTTTTGCATATTTTATATAGTTCCTAATAGTCAATTTTTTAAAGGGAGGGGTCAAGAAAAAAATTGAATCTATATTTGAATAGTTGGATTACTTGTTAGTATTTAAAAAGTATAAAATCAGTTGATTTGAAATATGAAATGAAAAGTGCTTTGTTAATAATTTTTTTAATCTTGTTTCTATTGATTTGAGTAATATATCCCAAGTTGTTAGCTTGACAATAGTTGGTGTGAAACTGTTTTTCAAGTTTTTCATATTCTTTCTGATGTTGTTCCTTAATTGGTTCATCTTTTGCAAATGTTCTAAAAAAGTCATGATCTCTATATTTGATTTTGAATAATATGCCTTTAAGAGAGATTCTTGGAGCACCTGATGATTTGCTTTTGATTTTCAGGAATAGGCTGATAATGGATTTGGGGTTTTTGTCACAATTGTTAATTTCTTCACACAGTTCTAGAATTTTTTCCTGTTCATTGAGTTGGATAATACTTCTAATATTATGAGAGCTAATGTTATTGTTGTTTTGGGATATTTCTAACACATTGTTAGTTTCATCAACCCTGGAAATGAGAAAGAATTTCAAGATTTCCACTGATTGACTTGGAGAGGAATGTTTATCAATTTTCATATTTGTTATGGCTAGTTGTCCTGGGTTCTATGGTGAATAATAGCTGAGTATATTGTGGCCTTGAGTGATGTGTTGTGCTATATGTTTTTCATTTGATATTGTATCAGTATTGGGTTGATTATCGCTGTATTCAGGGGTTACTACATGAGGGCTGGACTGATTAGCATTGTGTTTTGTGATACTTGCATATGGTGTTTTATTTTCACAATTAAGCTACATGTTATTGTTATTGTTTCTTTCTTCAATTAGGACAAGAGTGTTTGAAGAGAATATAGGTGTTTCGGTTTTTTGCTTCAGGGAGAAAGTTTTGGCTGCTTCATCAATATTGATATCAATTTTGTTCCAAGAGATGTAAAGCCTATAGGTGAGTTTCTGTTTGATTAGTTCCTTTATGATTCCAGCTTTGTCATTGTTAAATAGGCAAAAGGTATGTCAGTATTCAAAAAAGGAGTTCATTGTTTCCAAAGACATAGAATTTATAATGTTGGTTTTAACTTCAGTGTAGTAATTTTCAAGTCTTTTTTTATATACTTCAAAGGAGGCTGAGATTACTTTAAGAACTTTGTGATTATTTTCTTGAAAACATATTGGTGTCAGCCATGCTTTTGGAGGGTTTTCGAATTTTGGAAGGTAAATGTTAGCAGTGAGGTTGGTAATGTAGATGATGTTGGTATTGTTATTTTTGTCAAAGATTATGGCCAGACATTTGTCAATATCAGTAATGAGGATGTCAAGTAAGATATGAGTTGGTTCAGTAGGTTGACCCTTGAAGAATAAGGAAGACCCTTCAGGGTCCTTTACAGTTTTTTTTAATGAGAAAATTTTGATTTCCTTTTTTGATAGTTTTATTCAGATGCAGATGTGTTTAGGAAAGAGATACAATAATATTTTGGTTTATAATTTATCAAGTATAAATAGTATTATAAAAAATAGAATGGTATTTATTTAATAAAATGCAAATGAGCAAAACAAAGAAATGTTTAAACTTTACCAAAATTTTAAATTTTAAACTTAAATTCAAAGCTATATATAAACTATTATATTTATATTTCTTGTTAATACATTTGATTTTATTAAATTTTATCTTTTATTATATTATTCTACTATTATTAATACTTTGTTATTCAATGCAATATAATGTTACATTTCTATTTCAGTTGTCTTATGATAGTAAAAAATTTTAAAATTATAGATTAAAATTTAAGTCTTTTTAACCAGCGAATAAAAATTTGATATATTTTAATAGAATAGTTGATAAGAAATTAAATGGTAAGGTTTGGCTTTGTGTTACCTAAAAAATTACCCCAAATTAGTAATATTTATTAATTGACTATATAATTTATAAAAAAAAGAACAAATAATATAGTAAAATTAATAAAGATAATTACTTTCGAGTAGATTTTTTTAGACAATTTTAACCTATTATTTTTAAAAAATTTTAACTATATAATTATTAAATTGTTTTTCTTTAAAAAAAAGTAATTTGCAATTCTGGTTTTCATTTAATTTTTAATTATATAATTAATGATTTAAAAGTTATAATGAATTATTAAAGTTGAAATTTTAGTCAATACAATAAAAATTGAATTTTTAGAAGGGGACTGACCACTAAAATATAATTTGATACTTTATTGAATGATTATATTTATTTAAATTTAATATAGTTATTATACATAGTATATTTATACTGTGTTATGGATTATCGGGTCAAACGGGCCAAACCACATTCGGAATAAAAATAAATACGGTAAAATGAAGGAGGGATCTTATCTAAATTTAATGACCATAAGAATGAGACAAGATAATATTAAGTTATAAGTAGTGTAGTATATTCAAGACATGGTGGTATTAACAGAAAGAATGTTCGAGTCACTGTATGGACCAGATACAACATCTACAATGGACAATAATAATTAATTATCTTGAATATTACCATGGTTATAACAATAAAACATTATTTACCTGAACTAAAAACATAATTTCCTAAATAATAGAATTTAATAGGTTTAAAAAAAGTAGTATGGATCGATGAAGTAATTGCACATTTGACGACACAATGATACCTACTTGTAGTTTGCGAAAAAATGTTTCTCGACGGCAATAATTCTCGACTTCTATATTTCTGATCGTCAGGCCAATTGGTGTTGGTAATGAACGGAGGGAGATTTTTAAAGTGATATTGAAAGTCTTCCCTTGACATGTGACACATCTCAAGAAATGATTCATGAATTTTATTGGCATCTGGTCGATTCGAGGGATTGTTATCCCAACATTTTGTGATCAACTCTTTCAATATTTTCGGGAAATCACTCTTAAATTCTGGTAATGCGCCTTTATGAATCTTTAAATTTACAATATCTTCACAGTTATAATTTGAGTAAGGCGGGTTTCCCGTTACGATTTCCCACATTATACAACCGAAACTGTAAATATCCGCAGCTTTTGAATATTTTTTATCACTTATAACTTCAGGAGCAATATATGCCGCCACGCCAAAAACTTTTTCTGTTTGGTCAGGAGTTGCATATGCCGGTAAGCTAAATCCTAAATCACTTATATATGGAGTACTTCCATTATGTAATATGTTTCCACTATGAAAGTCTCGGTGAATGATTCCTTCGTTGTGAATATCTTTAAGACCATCGGCTATTTCTAATAAAATTTCCAACTTTTTTTTCCACACTAGAGTTGGATTTTCTCGCAGATAATCACGTAGATTCCCAGAAGGTGCGTACCTCATCACCATTATATAGTTATTTGTCTTAGGATTCCTTGAAAGTCCATAATACCTAATTATACGAGGGATACCGTTGCAATTTGCATGATTCTTAATCTAAAAAAATGCAGACGCAATAAAGTATTTGTATTATATCATTTACGTAATGTACAGCGATTGATGCATTCATACCTCGGCCAGAAATTCTTTGCTCATTTTCGAAGAATAATTTAGTTCCTTTAAAGCAACCATATGGTTTTCTTCCCTTACCCATTCGTTCTCATTTTCATTCCAGTTCAATAAAGGACCTTTTGACCAAATAGCGGATGATACTTTAGCAAACCCTCCTCTTCTAATAAACGTAACATTTGTTAAATCCTCATATGGTATCCACTCTATAATTTGGCATGCGCTTTGAGATGTGCATTGAACTTCCTGAATAAACGCGTTGATGACCGTGACACCACTAGTCCACCTGCCCCACTCATTCTTAAATTTATTAGATTCGCACGGTTGACACCAAAGTAAACCAATTCTTGGATACTTGCAATTTTGACATTTTCCATAAGGTTTAGAATGTTTACTCTCCTCGTTGCTCATGTAGCTACTCATTAGGGTCCTCATTTTGATAATTGATAAATCAATTTGACCTAAAAAAGTGAATTCTAGTACAGTTTATAACACAAGAAAAATGTGTAACGGTTTGTGTCAATTGTGCAAATTGTGCCTTCGTAACATAAACAAGGTTGCATTTGCACGTGCGAGGCGTACGACCATCAAATACATGCGTATGTAAGTGCTGTAGTGTGCTAACAAAAAAATACCGCTTTGTCTTCGCGATGAGGTTTTATTTCGTCCCAAATATTTGGTCAAAATTAAATGACCCATATGCAAATTATGTCATTGTGTTTGACGCAATCAGAGATGGATTTCGTGAAATCAATAATATTAATGATAGAGCAATCCATTTTACATGGGCTTGTAACGAACTTGTTGAAAGAGTACTCACCTCCGAACAATATATAAATGAGATCGAACGTAATAGGAATAGATATAGACCTTTTTTATCGGACCAGCATACTTTACCGAAATTTCAAAGTTTCCGAGATACTTTATACAAAATGATAGAATTTACCGACAAAGTTTCGAAGACTGATAGTCTAATGAATTTTCAATTAAAAGAGGAAATCGAAAAAAAATTTTTTGAATTAATCGACGAGTTCGATGAAGTTTTAAGAAAATTAGATTTTCCGACAATACAATATAAAAAGGAAAAATTTAATCAATTTCTAAGAAATGACTTCAAAGAATATATAAAGGTAAGAGTACTACTGTCTGTTATTGTATATCAAATGATTTTTTAAGTTATTCTAATTATTACTTTTATTTTAGTTTTTTGAAAATAAGCCTGTGACTACGACAATCGAATCAGGAGAAAATTCTAAAGGACCAATGACGACGACAACAGGATCAAGTGGAAATTCTAAAGGGCAAGTAGAAGAAAGTATTGTAGCAATTTTTCCGCAGAAAATCGATATATCGGAATATAAAGTAGTGTACGAAAAACAGGGAACACGCATTAAAGCGATGGCTAAACGTTCCGATAAAAACTCTATCTATGCCTTTAAAAAACTTTCTTCGAATATTTCGACTAAGTCAAAAGAATATATAATTCAAAAAACTGCAGTTCTGCAAAGATTTAGTGAGTCTTCCTATATAATTTCATTTTATGGTATCGCGGAGCATAACAGAGAGAGTTTCATTGTAACCGAGTGGGCAAGGTATGGAAGCCTTAAAGAATACTACAGGATATTTGGACCTCTAGAATGGTATAAGAAAATAGAGTTCGCCCTTGACATTTGCCGCGGGCTAAGTTTTTTACACTCATCAGGGATTTTGCATCATGATGTATGCTCTGAAAACGTTTTAATCTTGGAAAATCGTAAAGCTAAGATTTCGAATCTTGAATGGGTCAAGGAATCAGAGAAATCAACGACCATGAAAAAACTACCTACCGAAACACTTCGTTACATGGCCCCCGAAAAGATGAATACGAGAAATTTAAAATACAATGTCAGATGTGAAATTTTTAGGTATTCTGCCTTTCAATTAATTTAAATTTCCTTTAAGTATATTACTGAACACATCACATAACCCTTCAGTTACGGGATGCTTCTTTGGGAAATTGCAGAAGAAAAGGTTCCTTATTCCGACGAAGAGGATTTTAAGGTAGTTCGCAAATTAGTTACCGAAAACAAGCGTGAAAATTTTTCCAGTAATGCGTCGGATGAATGGAAAAACTTGTTTGAAGAAAGTGAGACCTTTATCTTTTTTATATATATACCATAATCCACATACGTGTTGATTTTTTTTTTCTTGCTATCTTCCAACCTCAAAGCCACACACCATGAACCTGAAAAACGACCAGCCATGTCCGAAATTTGTCAAACTTTACTACAATTACATAAACGACATCAGCAAGGTCACGAAAGTCAAGAAATCGAAAAGTTGGACAGCCCCCTACCGATGAGTGAATTTGACAGTAACTTAGAATTTGACGACGCTATCTTTAAATCGGTCATAAGTTTGGAGGATGCCATAAAAGAATCCAGAAAAGAAGACGGCGATATAGAAAAGGCATGGAAGAGTTTCAATGTATATGCTGAGTATGACGTTCCAATTGCAAAATTTTGGATGGGTCGTCTTCTCTACGATGACAAAATACTTTTTAGCGACGATAAGGAAAGAGATGAAAGAAAACTACAAGATGCAGCAAATTACTTTAAAGAAAGCGCTGATGAAAATGTGGCTGATGCCCAATTCTACTATGCAAATTGCCTTGAGAAGGGAAAAGGCGTCAATAAGAATATTCGAAAGGCATGTGAATATTATAAAAAGTCTGCGGATAACGGAAATATATGCGGAATGTATAGTTATGGTTATATTATTTATAACGGCTATTGTGGGACAAAAAATATCGAAGAGGGATTGAAGTATATGAAGATGGCCGCGGATAATGGGCACAAACGGGCGATGAAGTCTCCAGAACAAAATTGAATTTTATTTTAAACATTAATTAGCATGAATAATTAAATACAAAATTAAATGTTATATCCTGTAATATTATTTAACAATTTGGACGATTTACAGTACATAGTTAAAATAGTGTACAGTACTGTATAATGTATTTTATCCTGGGTTTTTAAGTCGTTCGGACAAATAAATACAATTTTGAATATAATTAAGTAAATGAGTTTGATCACTTTTGTCTGCTAAGCTACTTTATTTAAAACTTTATTTTCAGTAATTTAATTAGTAATATACAGAGCAAAATGATCTCAAAAATAAACAATCACTTAAACTACATGGAAATAAGTCGATTCCAAACCAGTTATCTGAATCGGTCTTTCTCTTTATACTGTATATGAGTTGAATCTTTTAACATCATTAATTAATATTGGGCAAAATATTGATATAGGCGAGATAGTAAGTATTATCAAAGAAAAATAAAATTAAAAGTGAGTTTATTAATAAATGATATATTTTTTAAATATTAAGGTGAGACATGTCTCATAATCTTCAATAAAGTAAATTTGGCTACATGTTACATGATTAATAGTAAGATATGAAATATATGTATATTACATATTATTCTGCCACCTATCATAGTAGATATGTTTCTAAAAAACCTTGGATAAGAAAAAAGACATAACCAAGGAGAAAATAATAAAAGGAGAACACCTCAGCAAGGATGGTATAAAGCACTTCACTTTGTTCAGTATGTAAAAACCCTGTAAAAAAACAATTAAACTGGTGGTATTCAGAAATATGATTCAATAGTATTTTTCGTCTAATTAAAACTTATATAATCTGTTAAGCAAAATCACTATTGTTGTGTAATTTGAACAGACATTTTTTTTTAAGAAAAGGTAATATGTTGACTAGTTAATTAACTGAAGTTTGTGTCCAATTATTTGTTTGTTGCTTGGATAATATATTGGAATTCATATAAAATACTGATTAACATAAGCTCTTTCAAACAATTAAATTGCTGTATTATGTTAATATAATTAGATAAAATAAAATATAATTAATATTTTGAGTACTGTATATTTTTTGGTAGAAATAAACTAATTTTAATAATTTAAAATAAAAAATTTTGAAAAGTGAAAACTATAGAGACTGAAATAGAAAATAAAAACCAAAAAATAAAATACTGTCTCTGAAATAGTTATTTTTATATGTTTATATGTATATTTAAAAAATAAATAAAAAATATATTCTATTATTAATATAAGTATCATTTGTTATAAAAAAGTTATTTTATTTGTTTTTACTTTTCTAAAATATTAATCAATATTATTGCTAGTCTTAAACTTCTAAAAAATATACATAATAATATTTTTTAAACAGTTCTCCAATTTATATTCATCTTTAAAAACGTATTTTACTAGTTAAAAACTTTTTAAAAAAACAATTTTTATAAAAAGAAATATTATTAAAAAATTTTTATATTACTTATTATATTAATTTATTATGTATATAAATTTTTTTTAATTGTAAAAGGGCATCAGATGCAAAGCTTTATTGATATATAGATATTATACTCGAGTTATATTAAACATCTTTAAATATAAGATTATATAAATTAATGTTAACCTATCTATAATGCTAATTATCACTATTCTTGGCACACTTAATGTGCTTTAGATTAGTTTTATTGCTAAATGGTTAATGCCCTTTCAGAACTAATACAAGTGTTTGCGTTTTGAGTGAATTGCTGTTTGGATTCATTTGTGAATTCATCATTTCTATGATTAATTCGATCAGGAATAACTCCTTTGATAAGTTTCATTATATAATGGTTTTGTTAGTATTCGTGGTTATGTGAGAATGGGTTTTCTATTTGATTCCTGAGGCCATTGAAATGTTGGCTGTTGCCAACCAGAATATCCAAATTAGTATGTAGAGTAGTGCTAAGGCTTTGTTTGCAAGTTTGGCTTGGCTTTTTGTTGATAGGTAAAAGTCTATATCTGTAATTTCACTCGTGACTTTGTCCAGTTCAGACTTTCTTCCAAGATCTAGTCTTTATATTAGATTGTTCCCATTAACTAATTTCTTTTTTGGGTTGCTTTTGTTTGAGAGTTTTATTAAGCTTTTCTTGAGTTTAATTTTAATTTATTTGTATGCTGATATACTTTTGCAATACTCAAAGACATGTCTCTAAATCTCTGCTTCAGTGAGGCATCTGGAGCACAGGTTATCTTTATATGTGTTGAGATACCTTTTGTAAAGAAGTTGTCTGATAGGAAGTATTCTGCTGATCATTTTTGCCTTGAAGGCTAGCAATGAGAAGCAATTTACCTTGTTCTTTTTGATAAGAAGTTTATTTGCTTTTGTTAGAGTCTAAAGATTAGATATTTTTATACTGGTGTTCCATCTTTTTTCAATTGAAAAACTGTTAATAGTATTATGAGTCTAAAAATGTGTTACACTTTTTTAATCCACATTACAGGGCTATAACCCTACTGGTTTTTAATTCTTGACCCATAATATAGTCTATTGATTCTATTATATTGTCAATTCCTATAATTGATTCAATATTCTGCTATTCTGAGGGGTTAAGTTCTTTTCTAACTTTAGTTTGATGTTTTTTTGACTACAGATGGTATTAATACTTTCGATCAAAAAACTTATGGTGTTTTAACTCTTTGGTTGGAATATTTTGACATTTTCAACTTGATTTTTCTGGATGTGTTAATTGAAATATATGATTGGTTGTTTGCTACTTCCACTAGGCCAAGAATTCCTAGGAGAGTATTGATTGGTGGTGGATTGTTAAGTGGAATGCCATACTTGTGTTGTATTCATATACCTTTATTAGCTCTTCTTTTGCTGCCAGATCAAACTGGAGAAATAGGTGATCTAGATTGACGACCTGTTTAATATTGTTACTAAAATTTTTAAAAATTTTATTAATTTTGGATAGATACTAGCATATATTATCAGCATTTATTTATATTTATTAGTTTTAGTTATGTTTTCTATAGAATACTT